TTTCCAGTGTGACGCTTTGACTTTCTCGATAGTTCGAGTCCAAATTCGTCGTTTCTGTTGCATCTCTTGGAAGAGGGTCATGGAGTAGGCGTCGTGTCGCCCGTGTTCCGCACAGCTCTCTTGCCACTTCCGGCGCAGGTAGTTAACCTCGATCTGCTGTTTTTTAAGGTCCGGGGTAAACCAGCGTTTAGAGTATGGTGTTGGTCGTAGATCGGGGGTGTATCTATCCACCGCCGTGGCAGTTGCTTCTGTGAGCCTTTCAACTGCCTCATCTAGCGCCGGTCTCGTTTTCACTTCCTTCCACGGGCCTATCTGTCGAACCACGTCTTCGGCGATCTTGGCCCAGTCCGCGCGGTCGTAGGCTTTCTTCGCCTTAGCGGCGGGCTGGCGCCGAGGTCTCAGGTTCCATTCCGAGTACGATGCGCGGTGGTCTGACCCGTAGTTCTCGTGGTAGAGATGGCACTTGATGAGCTGTTCTGGCCGGTTCGTGACCGTCTGATCTATAGTGGTGCTCTTCCCTGGATCGTTAAGGGGCCAGAATGTTGCTGTCCCTCGTGGCAGACAGCCGTGTAGGCCATGCGTTTGGAAGAAGTTGATCAATTCGCTCGCATCTTCAATAAATTGCGGTTGAATGTGGTTGGTGCCCCACGCCGGGTGGTGGCGGTTAAAATCACCGGAGAGGATGACGGTCGTTATCCTTTGATCCTCCTGGTTATTGGATATGATTGTGTTCTGTATTGCCGTGAGTGCTAGTTCCGCCGACGCCTCGTTGGGCGTGAAAAGCGGGACGCATGAGAGGTAAACCGAAAAGATAAGAAATTGAGATTCGGCCGTCCAGATTTTGATAGCTGTGACGTCCGGGTGGTCGCAGGCGATCTGTCGATGGGAAGAGGTTGAGGCTTTCCGGTTGACATAGATCAGACTGCGAAACCGACCTGCATCGGTCTCGGTGGTCGGTCGGTACAGCCGCCAGGCGCTGTGATTGACGTGTGTTTGATAGGTGGTGATAGACGGTTCTTGGATCAGGAGTACATCCAGATCCTGGCTCTGGTGGTCGTTGATGAGCGCTTCCATCCTAGGCCCCGATTTCATGATGTTTAACTGTAGTATGCGTAGGTTTGTCTCTAACATTGGGAGTTAGAGGTTGCCGGCGTCAGGCACTGGCGATCACTGGTTGGGTGTTCACCACCGCAGTCGAGGCATCGGGCTCTTACGCCTGGGGGGCACCGTTCCCGTTCGTGTTGGCCAGCGCAATGTCCACATCGAGGTGTTTCTTTGCAGGACCATGCGAAGTGTCCGAACCGTTGACACCGGAAGCATCTCTTTCTTTTTAGTTCGCAGCGTTCCACACTGCCGATAAATCTCTGGCCCACGATGAAGCCATTTTCTAGTATAAAATCGGTCCCTTCCGCGGTGTCGAACCAGATGCCGAGGGATGCGAACTTTCCTAGCGCCTTATCTTTCTTCTTAAGCCACGCGATCTCCTCAATCCGGAATCCTCGCCCGGTAAGGTCATTCTCTTCCGTGATTTTCTCGATCGCCTGGGCGTTTGCGTTTTCTAGGTCAAAGTCCTCTGTCGGAGTCCGGTGTACCACGACGCCGAACCGTGGCTTGACCAGTTTCGTGTTATTTCCTAACTCGTTCAGCCATTCGCTATTTTTGCGGGCCGCTTCCGCCGACGCTGGGTCCTTGAACCGGATCACATATCCGGTTTTCGTGGTGCCAACCCCAGCCACTTGGGCGTCTTGTGTGGGCGGTGTGCTCAACAGCGCCGTGCGGATGTGGGTGTTCGCGGTCTCCGTTGGGAGATATCGCCCAAAGGTGTTTTGTTCGCTGTTATCATTGTCTCTCGGGTCCACATAGGAGCGCTGGGTGCTGATTCGGATGCAGTTTTGATCCTTCCCCGGGCGTTGGTGGTTTTGTTGAGGAGGTGGGTGGCTCGCTGCTACTGTAGCCCACGATTTTGCTGCGAGTGATGATGATGGTAGCGCATCAATTTGCGCCCGTAAGGCTCGTACTTCCTCATGAAGTTTCTCGTTCTGGGTATGGAGGACGTGCTGGTCGTGCTTCACTTCTAACAATTCGTTCTTAGTGGATTGGATGAGCTCGGTTTGGTAGGCGATCGTTTTTTTTAAGCTGTCGATCAGTCGCCAGATTTCTCGAGTCGTGACGCGGCCATTGGTGTCTCCGGCGCTCGCGGTCTCGACGTTCGAGCGTGCTGCGGTGGTGTGGCCATCGCTAGGCCGGGTCTGTCTTCTGGTCCGAGGCGCGGTGGTCGGATTAAGGTTGTCTAACGCACCGGTCGTTGTCGTTCCTGGCGTGGTTGTGCGAGGGGGCTCGGGCCCTCCCGCATGTGGGTCTGCCATCTCTTCCGTTCGGTACACAAACAATTTCTCCGGTACAGGATCGATATTCTCCGAAAGCTAGGTACCCAACGGATCCAACCTGTGAAATCTTGGGCTGGTACCGGCTGGCTGGTACAGCGGCTGGTCCGCCTATACAGGATGGATCGAAATTGGTCTCACAAGTTCCACAAGTTACAGGATGGATGGAAATCAGTTTCACCACTTTCCTCCCGTAGAATCTTTCTCGAACCCTAACGTGAACCACCCTAGCCCACTTCTAGCCTAGTGCGGTTTAAAGTGTTGAATCGTATTGAAACCCATACCACGTGATTCCACTTCTTACATAAATTACATCGCTAATACTAGGCGGAAAATGAAATCTCGTCTTGCCATTCCAAAGGAACAGGACGCTGGGACGTGTTCACGCTATGGTAGTAAAAGTGATGGATCGTGTTTCCATACCCCGAGATAGAGAAATAAAACAACTAAGCAATGAGAAACGCTGGGTAAGTAAAAACTATTGAGAAACAAGAGGTGATTTATTCTCTAGCTATTACTCATTGACTGGGAGGGAGAGGATGTCTTTCTGTGAATGTTTTGTGGGCGATGGCCGCATCGGTTGTGAAGCTTCCCGTCGATTTCCGTTCACGGCGCGAGCGCCCTCAACCTTCCGAGAGTGATGTTTCATATGAAGCAATCTTTTAACTCAATAACGTTATTCCTGACTGCGTTCGGATGGGTTCTATTTCGCGCAGTAGCATAAAAGTCCTTACTCACTCGAGACTGAAAGTTTGTGGTTCTCTAGTTTTCTTCTCTAATTTTCTACTTATTCTAAGGATGCCTCACTCCGCTGCTATTAACCAGAATTCCAGTGATTCACTTCATGTCTCACTCAACAGTCTCTCCTTGACTGATTCATCGACAGAGGTGCATAAGACTAGTATAGTGAAAAGAGGTCACAGTGGACTGAACCCATTCGAGAAGTTTCTTCGACCAGCATTAGAAGCAGCGCCGGTCGTGAATAGCAGTGGTGAACTCAACCCTTTTAAACTCTATTCTCCCCGAAACCCTTCGGTGCAATCAATTGAAGACTTGGCACGGAATACTATCCCCAGGCATCTTTCAGCACTCCAGCGAACGCGACGATTCACACTCCAGGAGACTGATGTCCTCTTTGTTCATGCGCGGCAATTTCAAGAAAAATGGAGCGTTTCGGAGGAGAGCTTCCGCAATTGGAAGACATTACTGTCCGGTTGGATTGAATTCCCAGCTGTGATGTTGCTCAATCCGAGTTGGGGGGATTACTTGCCATTTCAAGAGATGGTGGTCGAATCAACGACGCTCTCTTGGCTACAGGAGACACTGGCAAAGATACAGCTTGAGCTCGACGATGTGATCATATTTGACATATTCCCTATGCTCCGAGACGAGCTTTTGAAAGATGTCCAAGAGCGGATGGGACCAGCCAAAGGGAAGGAATTGGTGCGAGACTCGTTTGCGCTTACAAAAGCGAGTCTCTCATTGATCCGACCTCAGATATTACTATCGTGCCAATGTTGTACGAAATCAAGTAATGAGAAGTGGGGTTTTTTTGATGATCCACTCGCTACACGACTCTGCTCCTCGGTGCAAGCGTCGCAGAAGGGGGAGGTGCGAGTGATAGAGGCAGATGCCCTTCGAATCCAGGTAGTGCAGGGGATGCATCCACAGTATGTGATACAATATCAGCCCAGTCTGGAGAAGCATCTGGTTGGACTATTCGCACAGGTGCTTGGTCCATTTGGAACGTGGCACTCACGGCGAATGGCGATGCATGACGCGGCTAAAGTGCTGTTCAAACTTCTAGCTTCGCTTCGGCTGCAAACACAGCTTTATAGGCGCCTATGCCAAGAAGGTGCGGAGATCGGAGGGGAGCAACCAGTGACGGCTAGGCGACTGAAGGAACTCGAGGCACAGCTTGCAGGGTGGGAATGTGTCTTCGTAGAGGAGTCTTTCTTTCCGGTCCAATGAAATCCAGTTTTGGCGATGGGATCGGTGTATATTAACTTATTATCTACAGTCAGTGGACATATGTTTTCGCATCGTCTGTGGACCCACCAGCTGACCGCCCCTATGTTTCTATACCGCCTACCTAAAACGCGTAGTATAGAAGTACGCTAAAATAACACGCGCGCTACATTCTACAAAATCCTAATAAACTAATACTTTATACTCCCCACACTCTCTCTTAATTCTCTCTCTTACCTCCCTCTTTTAGAGTAGAAGTCATCATTGAAAGCCAGGGGTGGTATACCCCATACTAGACTTCATAATATGAATCCTCGAAGGTTTTGACCGGCAGTATATTATATAATCAAGGGGGTGTGGGTCCGGACGATGCAATTACTTATGTCCAGTCACTGTAACTATCGCGTTCGTCTCTGTTTTAATCTGATTGTAAAGTATGGAACTCGCTGGTGCAGTACGAACACTTGAGTTGAGTGGTTGACAGACCGATCTCTTACTTAGTGAGTAGATTTAGAGGACCCTCCATTTGTTTCTAGAAGCTGCGAAAGCCGTACGAGCCTTGTACGGTAGATTTCTTTATGGTATTTTTTACAGCTGTACTGAAATACTGCCAAGAAAAGGAGTCAAAGATAGAGTGGCTGCATTAGGCATAGCGTGTTTCGAGAGTGGGTTCGAGAAAGAATTTCTGCGTGCAAATGGTGAAACTGATTTCGATTCACCCAGAGTGGATCGAAATTAGTTTCACCAGTTTGTTCACATAGATCTTCCCCGAACCCTACTTTGAAACACGCTAGTTCATCTTTGATCTAGCTTCTTTTACAACTGTCGTAATGACTTATAACTGTGACTCACATGATAAAGACTTTCGTAATTTACTAGAAATATTGATACAGCTAGTCCTAAACAACGTTGGTGACCTTATCGCCCATGCTCCCCCTCCCTCCCTTCAAACTTTAGACATCGATCAACACGAGCTACGCCCTGATGGAGGCAGCTAGATCGAGGAGGCGAAGCACTGATTTGAGATTGTCGCTATTTCCCTATTCTTGATCCATATCTAGATCACTTATATTTCCAGTCTCAAGCGACCGCTATCAATCACGATGGCTGACCCACTCGCAATCGCATCAGGGGTTGCGGGGCTGCTTTCGCTTGGTATCCAGGTCACCCAATCCTTGGTCAATTTTTACACTGCGTACAAAGACCAAGACACGGACCTGGCAAAGCTTACTCGGAATCTCGATAGTCTTCAGAGCATCTTCCGAGCCCTTGATGTTGCAGTTGAGGAGCGTCAATGGCAGGCTGCCACGCAAGACCTACTTCGAGAAGTCGAGAAGGCTGTACATAAATGCGAGGAAGTCATCGCTGAGCTACAGAGCGAGTGTGAGAAATTCCACATAGACTCGGCCGCCGGTTTAAAGGATCGCGTTAAGGTTGCTGGGCGCCGCGCGGCCTATCCATTCCGGAAAAGTACACAACAGAAGCTCGAAGAAGACGTCAGCGACATACGTGAAAAACTGTTGTTTGCACTCGATGTCCTGCATACGAAGAGCCATAGTCAGATTCAGGAAGGCATATCTGAAGTAAAATCACTTGTCGAACGAACAATTGCCAGTCAAGCTACTTTAACGATTCGTTGCTGGCTTATGGCGCCGGATGCATCTTTCAATCACAACGCTACGTGTGCGAAATGTCATCCAAGCACAGGTCTATGGTTCGTCAACGGTCATCAATTTCGGACTTGGCTAGAGGAACCCAATTCCTTCCTCTGGCTGAATGGTTTTGCAGGGTGTGGCAAGTCGGTCCTCTGCTCAACCACAATACAACATACATTCCGCGAGATGGGAATTAAAGCAGGAGTGGGAATTGCATTCTTTTACTTTTCCTTTGACGACGAGGCAAAGCAAGACGACAATGGCATGTTACGCACATTGCTACTGCAGCTGTCCGTACAGCTAAATGATGGCCACAAATATCTAGAACAACTACATGCGTTGTATAAATCCGGTTCTCCTCCAGTGGACGTGTTACTTGACTCGCTTCAACGCATACTTCTCCGATTTCACAGGAGCTATATTCTTCTCGATGCGTTAGACGAGAGCCCCCGATACAACAAAAGGGAAGGTGTCTTAATAGCAATCAAGGAGATACGCAGTTGGTTGATACCTGGAATCCATCTTTTGGTGACAAGTCGGAGCGAGTTTGATATCCGTGAATCATTAGATCCTTCCTGTGACCAAGATGTTCCGCTGAGGAATTCAGCAACCGACAGAGATATCGCAAACTTCGTCTCCTATCAGCTCAAAAACGACCTAAAACTCCAGAAATGGAAAGAGCGTCAGGAGGAGATTCAAAATAAACTCACAAAAAGTGCACAAGGAGTGTAGGTACTTTTCACGAATCAGAATTTTCCTCCACTCTTCTGACCAAGATGATGTGTAGCTTCAGATATGTCGAATGTCAGTTCAATGCTCTTCGGCGGGCGCGAAACCGGAACCAGCTTGATGACTGCCTACGCACGTTGCCCCGTGATCTAGATGAAACATACGAGCGAATTTTGTGCGGTATCAGAGATGAATATGTCGAAGATATGCGCCGGCTTTTGACTGTGCTTTGTGTCTCCACCCGACCACTCACGGTCGAAGAGCTGATCGACGCACACGCTGTTGATCTAAATGAGCCACCACGCCTTGATCGTGATGGCCGTTCGTATGAACAAGACGATCTTGTCGACATTTGCCTTGGCCTTATCGAGATTGCCACAGACGACAGTAATAGCCAAAACGCCTTGACTGCTCGCATAGCACATTTCTCCGTTCAGGAGTATCTTCAATCAAATCGCATATCGCAACAGAAAGCAAAAAGCTTCGCCATTCGAAGTACGCTTGCGAATGCAGAAATGGCACAGATATGCCTCGTCTATCTCATGGAGCCAGCTCTCTCTGGAGAGTTACTAGATGACACAAAGCTTACGGAATACCCACTCGCTCTTTTCGCCGCTATACATTGGTTCTATCATTACACAAACTCAAGCGAGGGGATGGCTGAAATTGAGCAACTTGTGGTCGGGCTGTTCAAAGACAAGACGAAATCTTTCGCGACGTGGATACGGTTACATGACATAGACAACCCGTTTGGAGTGTCACAGGATTTGCATCGCCCATTTTCTAATATGGCAACACCTCTGTATTACGCAGCCTTGTTGGGAATAGGGACCGTCTTGGATAGTATCTTATCGATTGACACTAGGGATTCAGAGTTACCGGAAATCTTGAATGCTCAAGGTGGGCGACTTGGCAATGCACTCCAGGCTACATCATACGGAGGCCATGAAAAGGCGGCACAGCAGCTGTTAGATCGAGGTGCTGACGTTAACGCCCAGTGTGGAAAATATGGCAATGCACTTCAGGCCGCATCAGAGGGAGGCCATGAAAAGGTGGTGCAGGTGCTGTTAGATCGAGGTGCAGATGTCAATGCCCAAGGTGGATTATATGGCAGTGCACTCCAGGCCGCGGCATACGTAGGCCATGGAAATGTGGTGCAGATGCTGTTGGATCGAGGTGCCAACATCAACGCCCAGAGTGAGCTGCTCGGCAATGCACTCCAGGCTGCATCACTCGATGGTCATGAAAAGGTGGTGCAGATGTTGTTAGATCGAGGTGCCGACGTCAACACCCAGGGTGGGCGTTTCGGCAATGCTCTCCAGGCCGCAGCAAATAGAGGCCACGAAAAGCCGGTGCAGATTCTCCTGGATAGCGGTGCGGAAATCAATACTCGGGGCGGATTATATGGCAATGCACTCCAGGCCGCATCAATAGCAGGCCACGAAAAGGTGGTGCAGATGCTGCTGGATCGAGGCGCAGACATTAACGCTCAGGGTGGAAAATATGGCAATGCATTCCAGGCCGCTTCATCGGGAGGCCATGAAAGGGTGATGCAGATTCTGCTACATGGAGGGGCCGGCGTCCCCACCGATCGTCAGTTGTGACCAGTATTTGTGGGTCGCCAGTCAGAAAGCCAGCATTGTTGCACCAAGCAAAGGAAAGTAATCATCCCACCGATATTGTTTTTATACACTTCGCTTATCAACTGGGGTCACTCCCTGTGTTTGATGAGAGGTTGAACGAAAGAGAGCATATGATACCTGGCCAGATAGCCTGACCAGGCAGGCGCCACACGCGTAAGATAGTACTCGAAATGGTACTCAAACACTCCTTCTTTTAGTATAATCTGAGATCTTGGCTTTTCTTATCCAGACGAGGGAGGCCACGATGGATAATAGTCGATGGATAGGCGGACGTCAAGGAGTAGCTATTTTCAAAAATTCCTAGTAGTTCATGACGAGAATCTCAGCCGGATTACAACGAGCCGGGGGAGGGGCACGTCCTCAGCCTTGTCATCATGTGACTCCAGCGCATCAAGCCAGGAACAAATTGCCTTTATGAATACAGTACTGTCTCTCTGCTGTACAACTTGCTCATTCGCAGTGATCACTCGAAGGCAGGTGGTTAGCGGAATGGGGGTTCGGGTTCCTGCCACTACATCAAATGAGTAGCCACCCGTTTGTTTATGTTGTTTGGTAGATCAGCGTTCTAGAAACCTCTGAGAGATTACGAGTCTATTACGGAAGCTATTTTTAGCCTGTTATTTACACCTGTATTGGATTACTGCCAAGAAAGGGGTTCAAAGGCAGAGTAACCGTAATAGGTATAGCGTGTTTCGGGACAGGGTACGAGAAAGAATTTCTGTGCGCAAGTGGTGAAACTGATTTTGATCCTCCCTGTAACATCTTTCACTGGTACAGCTTTTGACATGTAGCAATCCCCCACGCAGCTCAATTCAACCTGTTATAGTATTGCTAAGTAGAAGCGCCAAACACAAGGTACGGTATCCGGGGCTTCGAGACTATTTTGGAGACGTCATCACTAGTGCAGTCAAGAACCTGAGAGCACTTCAAGCCGACAGTGACTGAGACTGAGAACGGTTAAAATTGAGAGCGGTTAGAATGGAGGGCGGTTAAAATTGAGAACGGTCAAAATTGAGAGCGGCCCAAACTATTTAAATACGGGCTACCGGAACTAGGCTGGCGGCGGGCTCTTGAAAGGAAGATATTCATAGTCAAGAACGTTCCGAGTCATGCAGTAAAGTCGAAGGGCGACCTGTATGCATGGCATCTGTGAAAAGGAAATTTTATTAAAAGCCACCAGCACCCACCGGGGCTAATCCCAGGTTCATTTTTGTTTGTCTTAGTGAGAAGATATGACACATCCCGAATTGGGAAAGAGAAATTGCCCTCCACCTCACCAGCATATAAAAAAATCTATCGAGGGACCTCCCAGAACCTTACGCCTTCCTCAGCTTTGTAGGCTAGGAGGGGATATATCTTCGGTGCTGATTGTGAGGCAAGAGTCACCTTGGAACAAGTATCGGCCAGCCCTGATATGCGACATCGCAGGGGAAGTTATCATAGCGACCCATCGTTCCAATCCATCTCGATTGCAAGCTGTACGAGAGTATTCCAAAGCGGATGCTGAAAGACTAATTCAACGATTTGGTTGTCTCGATCACGCCAATATCCTCTCGTCTCGAGACTGCTATATAGACGCAAACTCTATATATGTTTTCGTTGAGGATCTCCCGCTCACCTTGTGGAATATTGTTTCCTCTCCAAATATATATCCCACGGAATTAGAACTGGCTGCAATAATGTCGCAGGTAAGTCTTATCGTCTCCATTTTCGTGGATAAACTAACAGACAAGATTCTCGACGGCCTATGCTATCTCAGTAGTTTTGGACTCACGCAGCAGTCACTGTCGTGTGGTGAAATACTGCTCGGCACAAATGGTAGAATAAAGATCGGTTAGTCCTAGGCTCGTTCGAATGAATGCGCCGCTGACATTTCTCACAGCCTGCTTGGATCAATGCTCAGAATGCTCACAGACTGAGACCAATACAATATACGCCAATACTATTCCTAGAATTACTATGGCGCTTATGCAAAAGCACGAGAAGGATGTCGGAATTGCCGGAGTTAATGATTTAAATCGGTGGCCAGTCGACTCAGATGCTTTCGGATTCTTATCAGCAGCCTCGACGGAATCCATTGAATCATTGAGAAAGGTGAAGTAGCCAGAAGTGTCGCATCGCATTTACTGGATATTACTAAGATATTTATAGCACCCTCTTGTCGCTGCGAATAATCAACCCACTGAGGACCTCGTCATGCTTGCACGAGCTGTTTTGTGCGCCTGGGTTTCTACGAGTAGGTGTGACGTAGCGCCGCAAGTCTCGACGAAGTTTGGTCAAGGGTCCTGAGCCCTGGTATATGAGGTGTGTATTCGTTGGGGTATAGAGACGGATCATACTTCACGAGGTTCTGCATTATATGTCGAAGTGTTGGATCCACTGTACTGATGGTATTGTCCTGTCATCCTGATACGCACTACTCATGCATTAGGGTTAGACCTGTATCTATAACTGGAAGACGCGCGCATTGCGCGCATCGGCCCTGAAACGAATAATTGGAAAGTGGAGACGGAAAGGGTGAAGGAAACATTGAACCGTGTGGATTGATGTCGAGTTACATGTAAACGAAGATTGACCAATGGGAGAGGAAATAACTGATGAATAACAAACATAACATCGAAGAGACAATTAAGCAATTTGATAAACTTAATATTCACTTGTTGAATCTTGATGGCGTGGTTATATTATATCATGCTTTCCTTAGTTTTTTAGAGCGCCTTTCTGGAGTCGGAGAGGTAGCCTGTGGTAAGGCCATGATCTCGTCCGCTATGCCTGGCCCCGTGATTTGAGCGCTTGCCTCATCTTCATCATATAATCGGGTCGTCGAACGCGGCCACCAGGCGGTGTCCGGGTTCCCGGGCGCAATGATAACCCGGGCGCAATGATAACTTTTCCAACCTGTCCATCTAATTCATTGAATTTAAATAACATCCCCAGTAGTATCAACATAATAAAGATTATCTATCCATTCTGGGGCCATTTCTGTATCGGGATCCTCCTGAATTTCACCTGTATCAACTTGGACTTTGGTGTATATATAGCCTCATGTTTCCCTCTGAATAAATAAGTAGTATACCTCTGAATTACAACAGTTAGGTAGAAAATCATTGATGTGGACAGCCAAGCGTCCACGAATACGTTAATATACATTGTGTACCGCCGGTAGCGATATTTTAAGTGCAGATTATCTATAGTCATTCTCCATGTATTATGCTTGGGGCTCATCAAAATTGTTGTTTAGAATCTTCCAGCGTTTTCAGGCACTATCACGTGAGGCTCGCAGTTCACCACCCAGGAAGCCTAGAGCAATCCCACTATATCAGACGAACATGCTTTACAGTACAGTAGAATTCGAAATTAGTTTTAACTCCACACTCTTGCGACTTAATTCGCGTACCTTAATCTGAAACACACTAGTGCACATTTGGAATAGTGGTCGATCCATGATTTCCAAGAATAGACCTTATATTTTACAGGACGCAGGTGGGACCCTGCCTTGTGTATATTACTGGTAAATCCCATACAGTGGTAATTCTCTGCCATACCGCCTACTCACCCGTATATCTCTCCAGAACGTTCGCGCAAATTTACGGCAATTTGGAAGTGTGCATGCACCCCCAACTCGAATAGGACGGAAACGGACTGTAACACCACTGATGATCGAAGCCCTCTCTGAACACCTGTCTGAAAAGCCCGGGTTATACCTCGATGAGATGGCTGTTTTCCTCTGGGATGAATTCCGCACCCTAGTCACAAACTCCAGCATCAGACGAGCCCTTGTTGCCAAAGGTTGGTCTAAAAAGAGCACTCGGTAGCAAGCGAGGGAGCGCAATGCCGATTTGCGAGAATGGTATCTACATAGTTTATCGGATTTTCAGTCGTATCAGCTGGTTAACTTAGATGACTCCGGATGCGATAAAAGGGTTGGGGTTGAGTCCTATACAAGTATCACAATTTCACCGCGACCAGCGATACTTAAATCCATGTTATCTCGCATGAAACACTCACCGCTATACTTGCTCCAAACCTTGAAACCCTTACACTCTTAATAATCAATAACGTATATACGTCGTCATGACTTTTGTTTATAAAAACAAAACTCATAAATATATCCACGTGATGGCAACAGGAAGACAAAGTATCTATCTTGTAACTGTAAAGTCACCACCTTATTCCATACACTTTCACCGTGATGATTGGTGACACCAAACTCGCAGTCCTCATTGATGCGGACAACGCGCGGCCTTCTCTTATTAGTCACCTTCTCTCCGAAATTGCGAAATATGGTACAGCTCATGCTAAACGGGCTTATGGAGACTGGAGCAGCCCAGCTCTGAAGGGTTGGAAGGACAAGCTCCTTGAACAATCAATTCAACCAATCCAGCAATTCGCGTATACCCACGGCAAGAATGCGACTGACTCAGCTATGATCATTGATGCGATGGATCTTTTATATTCTGGCCGATATGATGGGTTCTGTCTTGTCTCAAGCGATAGTGACTTTATCCGGCTAGCTGCTCGTATTCGTGAGTCCGGACCCATCGTGTACGGACTCGGCGAGCAGAGGACGCCTAAGCCTTTCGTTGCTGCTTGCGATAAATTTATCTACACTGAAAACCTCGTACATCTTGATGAGCTTCTACCTCATGCTAATAGTGTGATCGCACCTGAGAATTCATCAGCAACTAAACAAGCTCCCGAAGAGAAACACTTCGCAGACCAGTTGCGAACAACTGTAGAAGCATCCTGCGATGACGATGGATGGGCTAAGCTTTCTGATGTCGGTCAACTCCTCACAAACAAATATCCTGACTTTGACTCTCGCACATATGGATACCACAAGCTTAGTGATTTAATCGCCGCTTCATCTATTTTCGAAACCAGCCGCCGGTGCCCTCGAAGTGGTTTACCTACTGTGGTTTACGTACGCGATAAGCGCCGACAGCCTAAGAGTTCTACTAAATAGTGGTAGATACAAATCATTACTTTGTGGCCTGTTTCTAATGTATGAGCAACTGCAGTATCTGGAGTTGTATTGAGAAGTAGGCAAGGATTCCTTATACTTCTTACAAGAAGCTGCTGTGGAAAACATGATCGTAGCAAATAGTATGAAGAAGCTGGTCAATGAAGTCCCCGAAGACTGCAGCATCCGTTGGCCCCTGGAATACACGAGAGAATACAATTCCATCTTGACTATATGCGGGCAGTATCTGGTACCGCTGGACACGATGGAAATTGGCTACCTGCAATGGTGCCGTGCCTAACGGAGACCAGCCCGTCCTTCGGAACCTGATTCGTTATCACACACAGACTCATTAGATCAAATGTTAGGACTGAAAGCCCAACAGGCTATGCATATAGAAATCTCGTAAATCCGCATTCTGTTCTGTCGAGCCACCTACTTCGACCAACCGACCGAAGCAAGAGCGCGTTTGACGCTCGAATTTGTGACCTGGACGCGGAACCCGTCCCATAAAAAGATTACCATCTCGTCACATATAGCCCGGTCTTTTCGAGAAGGTGATCACACAGTTCTTTTATCCTTGGAGTTATGCTTCGTCGTCGACCGACTCGAGTAGCAGGTGCTCTGACATTTCCAAACTGGCGGAGGTTATTGCTGATGTTGATGATGGAACGCTTACTACATTCAGCAGCTTTAGCCATTTGCGAGGCGCTTTGTGATTGCTCAATATCATGTGATGGATCATTTCGAGCTTTGAGAGAGGGAGTCTTGGCGCCATGTTGTGAACCGACGGTGGGAGATGAGGACATTGCTCGAGGAAGGTTTCAGTAGATAAAGGAGGTGGGGGGGAGGAAATCGCCAGATCATGATAGAAAGCAAATCCATCGCTCACCTTTGCTCACCTCTCTGCTCAGTTACAGTATGTCTCGAAACCGGTGCACTCTCCTGAGAAATTCCTCGGCCCCACTTCAAAATGTAAACTGGTCTGTATCGTATCAGGGATAAATCCGGAATATTAATATTCCTGTATTAGTCCCAATCCATCATTCGCCTTTCACGAAATACTGTACCCTTGTTACCATATTGGGAATCCAAAAGTAACTTGAACTTTCCATCCCAATGCAAATGAGTCAAACAAAAGAGCTGGAGAGCTCAAGAAAAGTGACACGGTTTTTGCTTACTGTGCTGTATCCACAGACTACTTATGCACCTACTTGTCAGAGTATTTAGCCTGTCAGCCACTACTTTCTCTACTTGCTGACCATATCCTTGGTGGAAGCTAACACATGACCATGTCAATAGAGTCCTCACTGGCATTTTCTGCCTTTGGGGGATGACCCACACCCCTTCTAACAACGATGAATCTTACCGGAGCGAGCTGCCTGATATATGATACATCGAATCCCTAAGAGATCCCTCCTATCAGTCCAGCGGTGAGTCACGAAGACGACTTGCTGGTGTTGTTCAACCAAAAGGCGGGGTCGGGCAGCTGTGCATCTGGCGCGCAAATTTCAGAGACATATAGTTTACTTGCTGTCTCGCCGTACGTCCGCTAAACCGACTAATTTTTGGTCTTTCCTATTATTTCCAAACTATGGTCAACAGGAGAAACAGAAGATACAGTTCATCAAGGTCATCAACGGACAGTGATCCTGCTCCTGAGCCCCCTAAGCCCACTACCGTCATTCAAGAGAAGATGCAAGAGAGACAGTACCAAGATGTCGTTTTGGGTATCATTGCTAGGTAAGAAATATTAAGATTCTCTAGAATAATGGCAAGTTTCTACTTTGAGTTCCGCTCACCTTCACAAAGCCTCCACCTCAACCCCGATTACAGCGATCTCAAGATTCTTTGCCAAGATCGAGTCTTCCCAGCTCATAAGCTTGTTCTGTGTCCCAGATCCAAGTATTTTCAAAGCGCCTGTTGTGGTTCTTTCGAGGTACTGTAAATTCAGGCAGAATCTTGTGGAACACTCAGACCGAAGGTTATGTGACTGACTCATGGGAATCCCAGGGATCTGTTACTTTGGATACTAGAAGCCCGACACTAGTCGAGAAGATGCTAGAGTTTCTTTACACGGGAGACTACACAGTTCAAGATAATATGACCGAAGTTCAGATTTTACCAAGTGATAGCGACAAAATACCAGAATCAGATACATGGCATTCGGAAGAGGCTTTGCGACTCTCTCAAAAAGACCAAGATGACATGGAGAACCTTTCAGCTGAAGAGAATGCCGTTGGTGAAACTGCAATGTCACTGTCAAATCAACCTACAGCGAGTCTTATGAACCAATGCTCAGTGAACAAAAAGACTTCAGTAGCTGGCGAGGACCCCCTGACAGGCTCCAGCGAGCAAATGGACGCTATCGACGAATCATTGACTGATTGTCACCCATGCTACTTCCATCTCCGCATGTATGGAGAAGCTGATTACTTCATGGTCGAAGATCTGAAGATCAAAGCAGAAGAGAACTTTCGAGATTCATTTGAAAATTGCACCGAAAAGCAAATCTTGGCGCAGGTAATCAAGGAACTCTATTCAACAAATGCCGACTACCGAGATATTAGGAAGCTAGCGAAGAAACTGATAGTGAAAAACCTGCGAGAAATTCAAGGAGGGCTGACCCCGGGGATTGATTACGATCTCTTGAAAGCATATCCAGCGTTTGCTGCTGAATTATGTATAGCGACTATGGGAAAGTATTTGAGTGTGTCGTCCAGCCTCAGACAAGCGCTACCCCTTTCCACAGTTGAATACAAGCCATTTGAATTCAAGAAATTCGAATACCAACGGGGCAAATGAGAGCATGGGAAAAGTGAGGCTGAAGAAAGGATGGTCTCGAGAGAACCTCCAGTCATGTCAATTATTCATTCTTGACCTCTTGAGATATGGCCTTGCTTGAGTCAACAGAATCATTCGACGTTGTATTTGAAGAACACATACTGTAGAAGAAGATATTTTTCAATAGTCAACCAATCGTTGCAAATAGAGTATGTGAGCGAGCTTCATGAGCCTTCATACCGAACAACTCAAGATAAGGACTAGCGTGATTTGGTTACAAGTCGAGAAATACATTTGTTTCGCAGGAAGTATACTTCTACTCACTTTGGAGAAAAGTATACATAAATCCGAAGCCCGATTACCCATAATTGGCTGCGACTTTCTACCAATGGAATTCGTTGCGATTTTCGGCTCCCAAGTCGAAGTGGTTTTCTGGATCCTTCGCGGGATCCCGTGCTATACCCATTTGCGTGTGACCCGGTGCTGTTGGTGGATGATTGGCTGTCATGGCCACTTGGGTACTTGAGGCTGGATGTTTCGTAACATCTGAATCATGTCATAGATAAAACTCATCTTCGGAAGGAGCTAGATTGGGGGCCATTTTCAGTTCGACAACTTGTGATTGAATTCTAGGATACGTCTCCAGGAGGATAACGAGGTAACAGATGTAGTGACCTACAGTAAAAACATGCCTGGAATTAATCAGTACATAATATACATAAGAAGCAATATGAATCTAAATAACAGGGGTACTCGGAAGGATTTCCAACGCAGACTAGTGTATATTGGCAGGTGGGGCTCGAGAATCTCTTAAAAGTGTGTACAAGGGTGCACCAGAGACACACCGTAGCAAATCAAATTACTTTGGTCTAAAGGTCTGGGGCATGTTGGGTATTAGGAATCGCACGTGACTTGGTGGTATCGCAGTTCCTGGGAGCTTAGTGGCCCATCTGAAGCTGCGGACCTCAAAAATATGGCGGTTGCAAGGAACGGAGCATCCTGTGCTAGCTCGACTATAACAATAGATATGTACCTATACTGTAGGGAAACAAGTTGCCTACCAGGATAAATTCTCTATAGCGTCACCACAGGCTTCTTTTGAATGCGAAAGGATGTGGGCGAAGGCTGCACGTAAAAAACCGACTAAGACAGAGAGAATGAAAGATATTCCCAGATTTGTTACATACAGTACAGCAGACGCAAACATGAATTCTGAAGCTGTATTTTGGTCCTCTCCAAACTGAACTGATCAGGCGATATGGAAGATTCTCTTTTGTTTGATCTATTTACACGACGGATTCCATCGGTTTCTACTGTACAAGGATTACAGTACTATAACAATGACTTATGGTGGTTACCAGGGAATACAATACGGCCCCACATGGATTAACAGGGGAAGAGCTAAAAATAGATAAGGGTGTCTCCACTTAGGATCTGGGAATTAAATCGGAAGAGTTTAAAGTTAAAACTGATTTCGAATTCCACTGTACACAGATATTTTTACAGCATGGATAGATGGATGATTTCATTTATCCTAGTACGGCCTACATACTGCACTGCCCGCAATAGTGTCGTCCTCTCCATCATCGTAGTTGGCTCATCAATGCTTTCTAAACGTTTTCTTGCTACTAGTCTTGTACACTGGCCTTCACCAAGTACATATTTCTACATACATTAGCCAATTTGAAGGTAAACAAGTGGAACCGAACAATTAATGATCCCGGTACCCAAGTTACCAGATGGTCCCTCGTGAAGCTAATGCGATCTGTGGCGCCGTCGATGTTGAGTGTGGTATCGATTAGATTGGTGGATGGCAAGCGCTGATAACTTTGATAAGACGATTCAATAAACGAGCCTGATGAGGCATACCACGGCTTGCACCAGAGAGCTCCCATCGCTGGGACCGACTATGAGAAGTGCCTAACGAATGTCGCTTCAATTCTATTAGTCCAAGATCAGGCTCGCAATATCCTTAGTGTCACTGACCCTACTTCTATACTCAGCAGAGTGAATTACAAGGCCAAATGTCTAGAGTAGTTAGGTTATTCATCAGTCCCAGTAGCTTAACAAAAGCCACTAACCAGAGAAAAAATGACCATGAAGATGAACCAAATGAGTGGTTTCAGAAAAGGCATGAGCGCTCTGTCTTACGGTGTGAGAACAAAAGACGTATCCATATTCCTGGCTCAACGTTCCATATGAAGCTATTCTTATAGCTGATGAGATAAAATACCCGCTGTGATTGCGGGGATACGTACTACGATACCAGAGGGCTTTTCAAATCGTGGTCCTCAATATTCGACGAGGTCTGCTATTCCGGTAGACATTCCCAAACAAGTGTAACTAATATTTTCAAATACTGAAACAGAAAAGAGAGATACAGCCCATCAGAAAGTAACACCCTTAATTAAGCAGTGGGATTTCCTCTTTGGTTTGAGTGATAGGCTGTAGCAGGCTTTGAGGGCATCAACTCTCACGAGAACCATCCGCCGAGAAATAAGGGCTTGGATAAACATATATATCGAAAAGCCATGTCAAAGCAGTGCCCCGCCTTTGTATACTTCGGGCCTTATGAAAACCCGGAAAAGGCGATTCATTAAGTTTTCAGTGTACTTCAAGCAACATGAAGATAAATTTGTACTGAACTAGTAGATAACTCGAATGCGCCAGATAGGCAGAGTATTGAGCACTAACCGGTTGGGGCTACATTTAAAGCCAAGTGTAGCTGATCATCCACTTGTGTGGATTATTTGACATTAAAGTAAAGGCCTCAATGGCTATCTTACCCCTACTTTTCAATGAATCAACCTGCGCGGGACATGTCTATAAGAGCGAAGGCTAAATGGCGAGTTGGTTAGTACAAGGTGTAATTTGAGGGGTCACGTCACCCGCTATGTTAGGCTTTATTGGATAGTGTTCATGGTTCGGGCATCAACAAATTACATAAATTTATTGAATGGCAGACACGGAGATCTGGAACAAATTGCAGTGGAACCCTAAAAGTCCGGCAGAAGTATTCATCGACCCCATACGATTCCAAAAATGCGGATACCACAATAGGCTTATTTAGTCTGCGTTATTTCCTAGCAAAGGCTGACTTTTCAAATACCACATTTTGTTCTGGATTGTCCAAACTCTTAGCATAAATCTATCACCCAGGAAATGCCAGAAAGAAATGTTGAATTCAGAACCCCAGAATTTAATACCGAAAGCGTTGGTCAATCAAGGACTGTTTGGCTAGTTTTGAAAGAGCGTGGTTGCTGAGATCTTTTTATAGCCAATCACTGCGAATTTCGTCTAATACTGTCACAACGTCCGATATTAATGCTCCAAGAGCTACAGGCTTTCTGCAATTGACTACGCTACACCTTTCAAGCCCAACAGCCCAAAGTAGGATCTCGCCGCTTCGATTGATTCCACCGGAGACAGACATAGACACTTTTACCGTCACTTGGTCAAGCACCCACAGCACTACTAGTAAAAAGAACGATGGTATAACCGGATATCTCAAGGTTGACGATGAGCTAGGGAGCAGCGGACTAATAGTTCAAGAGCAACAGAGCTCTCGCACGTTGCCTTTCAGTGTAGCTGAAGCTGACATCGTGAAAACAGCCAACGATGGCCCGAATTTATCACAATATGCAGTGTCATCAGTGAAATCCGATCATGATTTTACAGGAAGCACTGAATTTGTCGTTTATGTTCCCTCAGGCCAAGCCACTTTGCACCAGCCGCCTGAAGTTACTTCGATGAAGTCTTCATCTTCACTAGAAGACTTCCAAAGCCTTTCTGGCCAAACTTCAATGGGTTCCTTCGATAAAGCTACATTCCCGGGAACTTTACGTGCTGTGTCTCGGTCGAAACCAATGGAAATCGGTAGTTATGTGACAGGGAATCTGGAAACTTCTTCGCATTTGATTGAACATTCTCGTCATTATCAGCCTACACAAACAACGCGAAACGCCCTCAAATCCGACGACTTAGACTTGAGCACGCCCAATCCGATCACCAAAAGCCAGCTCATGGATTCAACCACAACGGTGCCGGCGACTACGACCGCCACGAAAAATCCAGTAGAAGAATTGACGATGGATGGTTCTCGCGCATCTCGGGCCTTGTCGAGCCATGGTGTGGGATTAATTGTGGGGAGCATTTCCGGTGCTAGTTTGCTATTTGCAATCAGCTGTTATCTACACCGATTTTGCTTTCGGCGAATTGGTAGGTCCAGTAGAGGCACAGGATCAGTTACCCAACCGAAAGCAGACAATCCTGCTGCCACATGCCCAGACATGCCGGAAATTTTGGAAATTTCACGATTTTCTGCCTATTCATGATTCAAGGCTGGGGCGTGTTATCAGTGAAATAGAATGGAGTGTATTGGCTTCTCTTAGTTTTGCCCTCTGAATAGCAGCAAGCAAGCAAATGCTGGATAATGAAATATGACGAAAACTTATAGAAAATATGATTCAACTTGCGATTGCAGTTCTCGAAACACCGAGCTTTTGAAAATCTGTATGTATCGCAGCCCAGATGATAGGCTTGAATTGACCCGAGGCCCCAGAAGCAATAAAGTCTTTCCTAGGCGTGTTCTACTAAGGCCCTAGTTATCTGCAAAGTACAACTAGTTACAGACGGATAGATGGATTTCATTTGCCCTGAAACGATGGAACAGAGTGAAAAGGGTTACAAACCGCGCGCCTGCGCGACCCCGGCTTCTAACGCTGCCAACAACACAGCGACACACACAGCCAACTTTCACGCCAAGCCTATGTCTCATTGGCTTTTGGTTGGATTCCTGATCACGTTCTTTTATCGTGCTTTTGTCATCTTTCGTGCGCCTCCTCTAGCCTTGCAAGGATCATCCTGGCACATTGCATCAACTGCCCTTTCACTTCTTATATTGCACCGGTATTTCCTCGTTGGTTATGTCTCTTAATTACCATCCATGCTTCATACGTATTACAAAGCCAGTCCTACCCCGGTGGGTGGATCGATCTCCATTTTACTCTTCGTGTTTTCCTTGCCATGCACTGTAAGGTTTTGTCTTTCCTATTTCCCCTCTGAACATTTCTTTCTCCTTTCCCCACACTGCTGCCCTCCTACCTCTTCTGCGCCCAACTTGCGATGCTCAAAGGGAACACTGCCAGGCTTGACGATCAGGATACGGTCTACGCGGCTAAACTCAAGGGCATCCTACTCGGACTCAGGCATATTAAAGATGACCTGGTGAGAGAGCTCGTCGCTATTGCGAGAGCCCCAGCCCGCAAAGTGACCATATTCACGGACAACCAGGCCGCCATCCAAGCATGTGTCGATCCACGACCCAGCTCTGGGCAGCAGATTCTCCGCATCATCGTCATGTGATATAGTTGTCCCTAGAGCTCGGCACCAACCGCGGTCTGACCGCTGCGGTGCGGTTAGGTAACCACGAAAATGCGGTTGAGGTTTGGGATTTTCCTAACTGCGGTCGGTTAGGCCACATCCAGAAACCGCACTTAGTTAACTGCGGGTAGACCGCGGTTTGGCAAACAGGCCAAACAGTTGAGAAATTTGTAATCCTAGATCTAGATTCTACATACAGGTCCGCTCGAAATTACTTTCACCATTTTATTCTCTTTGGTTCTTTCCTAAGTCTTGGCTAGACCCACCTTGGCCTACATCTGGCCTAGCCCATCAATTACTATCGAATAGGAACAGGGCAATTAATATTCACTAGCTACGTTAGGCCTAGCGTCAATAAAAATAGAGGTTGAGAAGCAATCAAAGAGAACAAATTGGTGAAACTGATTTCGAGCGCGTCTGTAATACAATCGAGTTAAACAAGATTTCCTTAACCTGATATATGAATATCGCCAGGAACTGCCATGCTAGTCCTTGCAAACCAAAACAGTTGTTAACAAGTGTCTGAATTGATATCAGTCAGCACTTTTATGCGTCTTAGCATAGCCTAATTAGGTTAGTTATGTATTTGCGGTTTCTCTGCGGTTGACCGCGGTCCAACCATGCGGTTTTGCGGTGCGGTGCGGTTGGGGGGTGCGGTTGGGCTTTGCCTACCCATGAACCGGTTGTGGCGAGGTCTAGCTTTAACCATGAGTAATTGATGGGCGTGAAATTTATAGGTGGGTAAATACTCCCATCCCAACAGGGAAAAGCTAGAGCCAACCACCTCGTAAATGATGGCAGGCTCGAGCTGTGGAAGTGAAGTGCTCAACCAATTTCGGAAAATCAATTATCAAATCAAAATATTCCTAATATCAGCTGAAACATGTGTCTTTCCGAAGCCGGCCTGACCTCCGAGGTGTTGATGAACAACCGCTCCAAATTTGTGGTGGAACCGTTTACCACCTGAATTTAACCACCCTCTCTAAACACCCTCTCTAAACTACAAGCCATGTTGGCCATGTTGCCATCAATGAAACCACCCACTCATTGACCATCACAGTTGGCAGTTATAAATACTTGGGCAAAATTCGTGGATTGGATTCTGACAGGGGACACACACGTACAGTGGTTCAATTCCAAGTGAACGAAACTAGCCGCTTTGTCTTCTCCACTCCTGCTTCTCAATTAAATAGCCCGACTCCCCCATGATAACTCTGGAGTTAAGATGGTTTCCATTCAGCGTCAGCCATCTCGACCTCCTACTGTGTGGTGCGACGAAACACCCGATTGGACCACATCCAAGAGACCAACCCATCCATCTGCACCGTCTTCCAGGTCCCAGTCCGATCCAGCGGTAACCCCTTCTACCCAACCGATCAACGACCCAAGTGTAATGGCTGGTCCTCAAGCTCACACTCTGCGCGACTGTGCAATCCTTGCCATAATCAGCATCTTCGGCCTTTCTTACTTTTACCTCTTTGTGATTCAATTCTTTCTCTTTCACTTCCCCTCGTCCCCGGGAGGGATTCTTGACTCACTGTCGGTGCTTGTCTTTTGTGCAGGCGTCATCCTCTGGTGCTTGTCCAGCCTGGTATATCGTATCCTAAACGCATCCCATGGCAGCGATGCGGCAGAGTGGCAAAAGCTGGAGCTTGGAGGCGTTTTGGTCCTGATCTGGACGACTACTATTCCTTCTGTGGTTTTGCTGTTCCGTACCCAGCCTTCCCTCCAGCTCGGATACCTAGCGGCCTTCACCGCCGTTGCTGTCGGGACTCTGGTGGATTTCCTAGTCTGGGATGCCAGTATCTGTGCAGCGCGGTACCGCTTCCCGTACAGTTGTGTCTCGTTGGGCTTACTTTCGCTGATACCAACTATCCACGCCCTGACCGGGACGTTCCAAGGCCCCCCATTATTGGCAATACACTTCGGCCGAGTCGCCATCTGGAATTCTTTTGGCGCTGCCTTTTATCTGCTTCGGCCGTTGGAGAGGATGGGCATGGTAAATGGTTGGCGGCCCAGTCTTTATGTGATGCACTTAGTCCTGGCCTACAGCACCGTCACTTATTCGAGGGTTATCCTGCATACGGTGCTTGAGAATGCAGCTTAGACTCTATTCATCCCTCGGGGAGATGGGACATACTCCGAAGTAGGACGATACTCGCCTACTTGGAGGCTAGGGTGGACTGGTCGGTCGTTGATGTAAGCAGAATAGTTGATATTTACTTATGGGTCTACTTAGTGTATATACCTTTGACACAACTATGGCTTTGAACACAGAATAGCCCTGATCAGTAGAGTAGAACACCCTTGATATATTTGTAATGTCCGTGATGCAGGGGTTGATTACTGGCACTAGCGGGCGGGAGTATTCTTATCGTTCGCTCTTATTTGGCGCTAACGAATGCATCTTGCGCTAAGAGACGTGAGCTGTTTGCCACCAACCGACCCGCCTTTGCCAAGGATAGATAGTCTACCACCGGGTGCCTTACTTCCCCGTTAAAATATTGTGTAATCTCAGTGCGCCTTCGAGGCTGAAATACAGTACGAGTATTGCTCTCAACAGACGCGAGAGCGGTCTGTCCTTTTCCCTGAAAGCAAACGGCCTAATGTCCGAAGATCTTTCCAAGGCTGAACGTCCCGGACCCCAGGTCTCGCGGGACCATACTACTGCAGCCCATTTTGTAGGATTTTGCCATTTGCTTAAGTGGAAGTCAAATATCGTTTATGTTTTACAGTTGAACAACGCTCCTTGTCAACTGTAACCGTTTCGACCGCGACCTTGGCTGTGTATGCACGATTACCTGTTGCCCCACATGAACCATGGGCCCTGTTAGTTTGGCCTGTTTAGGCCAATGGTTGCTTGGTTGAACGTTTTATTATTTTGGATTTGACAACGGTTATCCCCAATTTATATTTATCGTCTTATTCCACACACTACAATACAGCTAGTAGTAGTAGTAGTAGTAGTAGAATTCATTTACCCTGTCCCCTCGCGAACGATATGCAGGATACAACAACTATAAATCATGGATAATGTACATGTAGAGTGATCCACTTTCTGACAGGAACTTAGAGCCTCGTCACGGCCTACCCTGGCCCATTGCCGCTCCCGTTGTTAGGCTGCCCTTGTGGCGCACGACTGCGAAACCGCTGTGACGCCTCGGCGAAGTCCAATACGGCCTGAACCGTCTTCGCCCTTGAGACGGTGTCTGGCTCACCTCTCTCACCTTCGTTTGAGCCTCCCAGCAGACTCGACACGCTGTACATCGCGTCCCCGACATTTCTTCTTAATTCTGTCCGCAAGTCTCGTAGATTTGGACATTCCAGCAACACGTGGCTGACCGTCTCCTGCGCGCCGCACTCGCATCGATCATCGTTGCGGAAGCCGAGTCTCTTGGCGTAGGTAGATAACCAGTTGTGGCCCGTGCGCAGCTGAGTGAGCAAATATGCTCGGTTCCTGGGCAGGTTCCCGTATAGTTTTCTGGTGTGCCTCGCTGGTAGCGCGCCGTCCACCTTCCGTAGGTGCGCGCCTTTGGTGCTTGAATTCCACTCCTGCTCCCACTGAGCATGGATCTTGCCGCGGAGGAAGGCGTTCTCTCTCGTCAGCAGCGGCCGGAAAGGATGGGTTTTGCCCGGTTGCGCGGCTTCTTTGGCGAGTCGATCCGCTGCCTCGTTCCCAACGTTTCCACAATGTCCCGGCATCCACTGGAGGCGGAGGGCCACATGCCTTGCTTGAACCTCGGTGGCTGCTTGGAGGATTGCATGGATGATTCGTTGCCCTGATCTATTTCTCACGTTCTGGGTTGCTTGTAAAGCGGATCTGCTGTCGCAAAGGATTGTTGCTGTTGCTTGCCTTTGGTTTCCAACGATTGCGCGTTGGTGAGCCAATTTGAACACCATGCTGATCGCGCAGAAGATGCCTATAAGTTCCGCCACATGAACTGACCACCGTTCCATCGACCCCACCTGCACCTGTTGAGATTCCGTCACCTCATCATTGTCGTTGAGTGCGACGATGGCGGCTCCTAGATGACCCTCGCGCCCGGAGGCGTCCGAGTAGACGACAATATCCGATCTGTTGCCCGCAACCTCTGCTCTTTCTCTGGCTGTTTCCCGGTCGTGTTCGAGTTCGATCTCCGTAAAGGCGTCCGGGCGCCACGGGGGCAGCGGGCGTGGGTCAATCGTTTCCAGCTCATTGAGCCTGTCGACGTCCATGGTCTTCAGCGCTTCTGCTAATGGGAAGCGGGCGTATGATCCGACATGATCTGCGGAGCTGTGGACCAAGTGGCCTCTTCGGCTTTGGTTCCTTCGATTCTGGGCTCTTGACAGAGCACCCCAAATGGGATGGTCGCGAGGTAGAGTGTATAGTCTCGCGATAGTGCGCTGCGCTCGGTGGCGTAGACGGAGGTGGGTAGGAAGTATGTAGGCTTCGATTTCTAGCGTGATAGTTGCTACCGTTCTAAATGCCGATAGAATCCGGATCAGTGACGCCCTCTGGACAGTGTTCAAGTGTCGCAGGTGAGTCTTGTCCCGGAGCGGGTCATGCCAGACCGTCGATGCATAGTCCACTACCGGCGTAACGCACGCTTGGTAAAGCTGTCGCATTTGTTCGGGGCGCATATGTCGTAGTCCACTCAGAGCGATTGTTGTTTTGGTGGCGCGCTTGATGGTCTGCTGGACATGTTCCTTCCAGCGAAGTCCCTGGTCGAACACCACCCCTAACAATTTGGCTGTAGGTGACGGCTTGACGTCGGCTCCATCGAAGATGATTCGTCCTTCCGTGTGCTGGCCCCTCTTTCTGGTGAGGTGGATGAGCTCGGTTTTTTCCGCCGCGAAGCAGGATCCAGTTTGTCGCGCCCACTCTTCGATACGAGGGACATCCTCGGACTGTATTTTGACCAAGTTTTCTTCAACCGAGCGCCCCACTCTCCATCGAAAGTAGTCGTCAATGAATGCTGACGCGCCTCCGTGGGAGTCGACGGGCTGGTCGACCAAGTCGGCGTTGAAGAATGCAAATAAGATGGGGGAGAGTGGCGACCCTTGCGCTAGACCTGCATTCTCTAGCGACTGTGTCTCGGTACGGAAGTCGTCAAATCCAATGTTGGCGTGTCGGTCACTCATGAAGCTCGCTATCCATTTCCTGTTGATGAGTGCTTCCATTCTTGGTCCCGATTTCATCATGTTCAACTGTAGTATGCGTAAATTTGTCTCTAACATTGAGGGGGGTTGGAAGTTGCGGGGGTGGGACACTGTCGATCACCAGTTGGGTGTTCGCCGCTGCAGTCGAGGCATCTAGCTCTCACCCCTGGGGGGCATCGTTGTCTCTCGTGTTGGCCCGCACAATGCCCACACCGTGGTGTTTCCTTGCACGACCATGCAAGGTGGCCGAACCGTTGACACCGGAAGCACCTCTTCTTCTTGATCTCGCGGCGTTGTACGCTGCCGATGTATCTTTGGTCGACAACGAGCCCGTTGTTGAGCATGTATTCGGCTCCCTCTGCAGAGTCGAACCAGATACCGAGTGATGCAAACTTCCCTAACACTTTGTCCTTCCGTTTTAGCCATGCCAACTCCTCGATTTGGAAACCTTGTTCCACTAAGTCGTTTTCTTCCATAATTTTCGCAATAGCTTGAGTGCTCGCGTTTTCCAGGTCGAAGTCCCCTGTCGGAGTACGGTGTACCATGACACCGAATCGTGGCTTGACCAGCTTTGTGCTATTCCCTAGTTCGCTCAGCCATTCAGTGTTGTTGCGGGCCACTTCAGCCGACTCTGGGTCTTTAAAGCGGATTACATAACCCGTTTTGGTAGTTCCGATGCCGGCGACCTGGGTGTCTTGCGTGGTAGGGGTATTCTGCAGCGCGGTGCGGATGTGGGTATTGGCGACCTCGGTGGGGAGGTATCGGCCGAAGGTGTTCCCGTCAGTAGTGTCGTTGTCTCTTGGGTCCACGAGCGATCTCTGGGTGCTGATTCGGATACAGCTCTGTTCTCTCTCGGGCGGTTGGTGGCTCGGTTGGGTGAGGCCACTGCCGCCACCAGCTGCTACTGCCGCCCACGATCTGGTTGAGGATGCTGGTGTCAGGGTTTCGATTCGTTCTCGCAGAGCTCTGATTTCTTCGTGAAGCTTTTCATTCTGATCTCGGAGGACATTCTGGTCGTGTTTGACCTCAAGGATCTCGGCCTTGGTGGACTCGATGACCGTGGTTTGGTTGGTGATAATTTCCTTTAGGCTATTGATGAGCTGTCGGACCTCTTTGGTCGTCACTCGTCCGTTATTGTCTTCGGAACCTGCAAACTCGGGATTCGAGTACGCAATGGCAGTTGCTTCATTTCCATTGCGAGGGCTTCTTCTCTTTCGAGGCACAATCGGTTCGAAGTCTTCCCGTGTGAAAAGCCGTGCCCCTCTTTGCGTGTTTGTGGGGGAGGGCTCGGGCCCTCCCGTGGGTGGGTCCGCCATCGGTCCGGGGTTAGTTCTCGCTCGGCACACAATAACGTTTTATATCGCAATAGTATCAACCGCCCGCCTCGTGGTTGTCTCGGACGATCAGCTGTATAGGATCCGTGCACTCCACCGGTACAGCTATCCCACCGGTACAGCTATCCCACCGGTACAGCTATGCTACAATACAGCTAAATTCGAAATTGGCTTCCACATTTTACACAGAGAAACTCTCCCAAACCCTAACGCCAAGCCGATGGTGAAACTGCCTAGCCTCAATCTGGCTAGACTGCAGATCATTTCTGTCCGTCAGAATGGAAATGTAAAGTATCTGACAAGACCAATACAGCAAAGTGTTGAATTATACGTTATTCGCAGTTTTTCCAACTCCAAACCCCTTGACCGCCACCACGAGACGAACACTCACGGCACAAAATCGTTCTAAATCTGCCTTTCTCCACCCTAGAATTCATTCGCGATAAATTTCTAAGCAAGTAAATGACTACGGCCCAGATCGCCGATGCCGCAAAATGCAGCCCGCATTCCGTCACCATCAGGACTTTGGGCGGGACAGGGCGGTAATATCCCGATATTGACTGGCGGAGTGACAGGGCGTAGACAGTTGCTTGCATAGCGCGGTAGTGCCCACGAAGTCACCTGAGAGTGAGGCTGAGGATAGGCACTAAACAATGGGGCCCCGGAACCTTTCTTTTACCCGAAACCTGAACATCGTCTGTATCGTATATTGATAATGACCTCTATATCGTTTGGCGACCAGAATCAGGGGTTACAGGTGGGTACTAGTCACGGGCCCATATACTATACATCTGGTGAGTTTCTAATCACCTAAAAAATGGGTCAAGATCAGAATAAAGGACTAATAGTGGCTTTCTGTCCTAGAGCAACCGGAACCCCGCCCAGAGCCACTGTCGACCGTGCCGTTTCCGCATGATCCAGATTTTGTCAGCCGCGATGAACTCCTCGATCAAATCCACGAAAAATTGTCGATCCCGGAGGCTAGAATAGTTCTCGTTGGCCTAGGGGGAGTTGGGTGAGGCCAAGCTAGCCCTTGGCGGTCTGTTCTAGACTGACTTTGCCAAAGAAAATCTCGAATCGCCATCGAATACTGTTACAGAGTCCGGCAGCAATCGCCTGACGCCTGGGTTTTCTGGGTTCACGCGAGTAATGCCGCGCGCTGCGAGGAAAGTCTCCGCAACCTTGCCGACCGTGCTAAGATCCCTGGGCGCCAAGATCGCAACTCTAATATTTTCCAACTCTTCGGGAACTGGTTGCAAGATGGGAAGATCGGAAAATGGATTCTTGTCCTTGATAATGTCCATGATGACGAGCTCCTTCGGAAACCATTAACTACCCGGATGGAGGCCCAAGCAAACACACCGAGGCATGCCCCGACGCAGCCACCGCTAAGGTACCTTCTCGAAAGTTCGAATGGCTCTATCATTATCACGAGCCGGAATAAAGGAGTAGCATTGGAGATCGTTGGCCATAAGAAGAATCTGATCGACGTGCGACCAATGAATACAACCGAGGCGCTAGTTCTCATGCGGAAGAAGCTAGATGAATATGCAGAGAGAGAGGATTTGGTTCAGCTAGTCGAAGAACTTGAGTTCATGCCACTCGCGATTGTGCAAGCGGCTAGCTACATCACCCACCGTTCACCCCGATGCTCGGCATTGCAATACCTCGAAAAGCTTCGGCAGAGTGATCGTCAAGCCACGAAGCTTCTTAATCACGAGGGAAAACACATCCATCGAGACTGGGAGGCAAAAAATTCGATCCTACTGAGTTGGCAAATTTCATTTGACCATATTCGACGAATCAGGCAGTCTGCCGCTGATTTACTGTCTCTCATGAGCTTTTTCGACTGGTAGGGGATCCCAGAGGATCTTCTACGGGTGCAAGACATGGACAGAAACCACGAACCTTTAGCTTTTCTGCAAGACGTTGGGAACACATCAAGTGATGAGGATACGGATTTCTCGTCTAAACCCGACGTAGATGACGATTTTGAGAGCGATATTGCCACTCTCAGAGATTATTCTTTTATTGATACCGGCGGAAATAGCACGGTGTTCACGATGCATCGGCTTATGCAGCTAACAGTACGCACATGGTCAAAAACCTATAGTCAGGAGGAGGAGTGGAAGGAACGTTTCATTAAGATCCTATATGGTGAATTCCCGACCGGTCAATATGAAAATTGGGAGAGATGCCGGTCACTGTTTCCACATGTTAGGTCAGCTGTGTTACATCGACCGAAATCGCAAGATTCATTCCGGAACTGGGCCGCGCTACTCTACAGAGGGGCGTGGTATGCGCAAGAATGTGGCAATATTTCGGATGCAAAGGATATGGCAGCTATGTCAAGAAAGCAAAGAATGAAGATTGGCGGCGCTGAAGATGAAGACACCCTTAATAGCACTGCAATGTTAGCAGTAGCATACCGACTGGAGGGACGGTGGGATGCGGCGGAGCAGCTCTTAGTGCAGGTCATGGAGACGAGCAAGACGAAACTCGGCGCGGACCATCCTGACACACTAACGAGCATAGCCAACCTGGCGTCGACGTTATGGAATCAGGGACGATGGGAAGAGGCGGAGCAGCTCGAGGTGCAGGTCATGGAGACGAGCAAGACGAAACTCGGCGCGGACCATCCCTCCACACTGACGAGCATAGCCAACCTGGCGTCGACGTTATGGAATCAGGGACGATGGGAAGAGGCGGAGCAGCTCGAGGTGCAGGTCATGGAGACGAGCAAGACGAAACTCGGCGCGGACCATCCATCTACGCTCACGAGCATGGCCAACCTAGCTTTCACGTGGGAATCTACAGGCCAGCATGCTAAAGCAATTGATTTGCTTCGAACCTGCGTGGTCAAGCAACAACGAGTTTTAGGCCCAGCTCATCCTCATACTGTGTCGAATGACAACACGCTGCTGAAATGGGAAACTACGCATCTTGCTATCAAGGCATGATCAGTTTATCCTTGCTCCTTTTTCTCATATTAAGTTCGTGTCGCTATACTGTATTTCATTCTCTAATCATGTTTACAACTCACTACGATTCTCCCTAGCAACCATGCATTTGACAATCCATTGTTTCTTACAAGTGTAAGGTACACTGGTTGTAACAGTGTTTTGAAATAACAGTACTGCGTAATTTTGAAGTAACAGCCCCTGCATCGATACAATCCGTGTTAGGACTAGCGTGTTTTGGGTTAGGGTTCCAGAAACAATCTTCTTGCGCAAAGCATGGAAGCCAATTTCGATTATAGCTGTACCGGTGGGGCATCCTGTAACTTGTGAGACCAATTTCGATCCATCCTGTATAGGCGGACCAGCCGCTGTACCAGCCAGCCGGTACCAGCCCAAGATTTCACAGGTTGGATCCGTTGGGTACCTAGCTTTCGGAGAATATCGATCCTGTACCGGAGAAATTGTTTGTGTACCGAACGGAAGAGATGGCAGACCCACATGCGGGAGGGCCCGAGCCCCCTCGCACAACCACGCCAGGAACGACAACGACCGGTGCGTTAGACAACCTTAATCCGACCACCGCGCCTCGGACCAGAAGACAGACCCGGCCTAGCGATGGCCACACCACCGCAGCACGCTCGAACGTCGAGACCGCGAGCGCCGGAGACACCAATGGCCGCGTCACGACTCGAGAAATCTGGCGACTGATCGACAGCTTAAAAAAAACGATCGCCTACCAAACCGAGCTCATCCAATCCACTAAGAACGAATTGTTAGAAGTGAAGCACGACCAGCACGTCCTCCATACCCAGAACGAGAAACTTCATGAGGAAGTACGAGCCTTACGGGCGCAAATTGATGCGCTACCATCATCATCACTCGCAGCAAAATCGTGGGCTACAGTAGCAGCGAGCCACCCACCTCCTCAACAAAACCACCAACGCCCGGGGAAGGATCAAAACTGCATCCGAATCAGCACCCAGCGCTCCTATGTGGACCCGAGAGACAATGATAACAGCGAACAAAACACCTTTGGGCGATATCTCCCAACGGAGACCGCGAACACCCACATCCGCACGGCGCTGTTGAGCACACCGCCCACACAAGACGCCCAAGTGGCTGGGGTTGGCACCACGAAAACCGGATATGTGATCCGGTTCAAGGACCCAGCGTCGGCGGAAGCGGCCCGCAAAAATAGCGAATGGCTGAACGAGTTAGGAAATAACACGAAACTGGTCAAGCCACGGTTCGGCGTCGTGGTACACCGGACTCCGACAGAGGACTTTGACCTAGAAAACGCAAACGCCCAGGCGATCGAGAAAATCACGGAAGAGAATGACCTTACCGGGCGAGGATTCCGGATTGAGGAGATCGCGTGGCTTAAGAAGAAAGATAAGGCGCTAGGAAAGTTCGCATCCCTCGGCATCTGGTTCGACACCGCGGAAGGGACCGATTTTATACTAGAAAATGGCTTCATCGTGGGCCAGAGATTTATCGGCAGTGTGGAACGCTGCGAACTAAAAAGAAAGAGATGCTTCCGGTGTCAACGGTTCGGACACTTCGCATGGTCCTGCAAAGAAACACCTCGATGTGGACATTGCGCTGGCCAACACGAACGGGAACGGTGCCCCCCAGGCGTAAGAGCCCGATGCCTCGACTGCGGTGGTGAACACCCAACCAGTGATCGCCAGTGCCTGACGCCGGCAACCTCTAACTCCCAATGTTAGAGACAAACCTACGCATACTACAGTTAAACATCATGAAATCGGGGCCTAGGATGGAAGCGCTCATCAACGACCACCAGAGCCAGGATCTGGATGTACTCCTGATCCAAGAACCGTCTATCACCACCTATCAAACACACGTCAATCACAGCGCCTGGCGGCTGTACCGACCGACCACCGAGACCGATGCAGGTCGGTTTCGCAGTCTGATCTATGTCAACCGGAAAGCCTCAACCTCTTCCCATCGACAGATCGCCTGCGACCACCCGGACGTCACAGCTATCAAAATCTGGACGGC